AGCAGCAATTCCCCGTCCCGCTCCCGCTTCCTCCCCGCCCCCTTGGGAATTCCAATCCCAAAGCACATTGGCTGGGGTTACAGTTTAACCTCCAGCCCCGGAGTTTGTTACTCTCTAAATGACTCCCTTTAGGTCGGACTCGAAGCTCCCTCCTGCCGCTGCACGGCACAAGTCTGGGCAAGCTGCACTGCAGCCGGGGGAGCTCGGCTGGAAAAGGGAACAACCAGAAGAAAACGGTCCTGAGCAAGGAGATCTGGCTCGACCCAGGTACTCCAGCAGCACAGCTCACCCTCTCGGTGGGCTACGCTCAAGATGAAACAGGTACAAGTGAGGAGGAAACATCGGTGGTGTTTCCTTTTCCCAGCTCGCTAAAATGAAGGGCTATAAACCAGAAGCTCCACCGTATGTTTTGGTTAGGAAGTGTTTTTTTCCTCAAACGCACCGGCTCAAAATGAAAAGTTCATGGTGGGGCAAGTCAACCAACCACACAGCAGCCCACGGCTGGCTGCCCCAGAGGGGTTCACGGTCACGTCTGCCTCCTCCCTGGGGACAGCTCACAGCCCTGCTGCCAAAATGTGCCACTTAAAGACTGACTAAATCCTGTTTTCACCTGTCCTGCCTTCCAGTGGTTTGCTTTTAAAGCTCCTGGAGGAAAGCCCTGTCCCCTCACTCCCACCCCGCGGGCGAGCGTGAGTGCAAGCTCCGGAGCCTGCTGCTCAGGGAGCTCTGGAAGGGGAACGTTGCCAATGCCAGAGCTGAACAAATCACAAAGTATTCCTTTAGTATTTGTTTAAAAGGGGGGAAAAAAAGTCAAACATCAAACATAGATAAGACTTTAAAAAATAAAAGCCACAGCCTTCTCCAAGGGGGCTTTTTTTTTTTTTTTTCCCCATTGTGTCCTTGAGTAATTCCAGTTCTTTGTGAATTTTATCAAGCTGAACTTCCAGGCAGACAGTCCCAAGAGCAGCAGCAGTTTGTAACGGGCTGCAGAGAGCTTCAATTACCTCGGAATGTTTAAGGCTTGTCTCAGACCTTATCTTAAGAGCTTGAAAGGTGTTTTTTTTGTCCCTCCAGGGCAATAAAAGCACACGAAATGTGCAGATCAGACGAGCCACATCAACTCTTTTGTTGCTGACCTGGGTTCAGCAAGAAGGGATTTTAAGTAATGGAATAACATTTATCTATCAAGTTGTGCTGGTTTAGCTAAAGTTGCCCAACACCAGGTGGAGGGAATTTTACCTTAGTATCATTATGAATCAACTTGCATATTTTACAGAGGGGTCATAAGAGATGAGACCCCAAATTTCTAACTCTGTGTGGAAGAGATGAAAACAAAAATGTCCATACAATTGTATATCTCTGCTTCACAGAACCCCAGCATAGTGGGGTTGGAAGGGAGATCACCTCATCCAACCCCCACAGGCTGTCCAGGATCACATCCAGGTGGGTTTGGAATCTTTTCAGAGCAGGAGACTCCACAGCCTCTCTGGGCAGCCTGCTCCAGGCTCGGCCACCCTCACACCCA